ATCCTGACAGAGGGATCATAACTTCATGTCAGTAAAACTGATTTAACCAACAGAAACAATAATGGGACATTTTATTCGCCAGTAAAAAGTCGATAGACTTTTGAAGTTCATAAGTGGGCTGATCTCACACAGATCGTTTGTTCTGATATTTTCCCTTCTGCCATGCAGGGAGAGGGGGAGTCTGGAGGAGAGAGAAAAGGGGGATGGGACCAAATATCTGCTTTGAAAGCGTAGTCACTGTCCATTAGCGTTTGTCTCTCTCTTTCAGAATTGTGGGTGCATTAACCGCCTCTGCACAATGCTCCCTAACAAAGCGCAAACTGTAGCTGGGGAGGAAAACGCGTTTGTGTTCAGTTCTCCGCCGTTTCCGCCAAACATCCTCCAACAAGCACCTGTCTGCAACACCGGACCCGTCAAATAAAACCGAAACGCTTGGATGCAGTGATCCTCCTGTTGGCAAAATATTCCTTTCTAAATAAAGTTTTCTACGTGTTCCTTATAAGCTGCCGTCTGATTGGAGCAAACAACATTGGAGTAAAAGCATCTGAATGGACTTCAGTACTAATATTAAAATAATCACATGCAGCCACAGGTAGCTTCGGCTGCACAGATTGGTTGATTGGCCGGCCATCCGATCGATGGACCCTGACTTCCTTCCTGTTATTACAGGATTTATACAGGAATGAGGAACTCTAATTTAATCCTTTTAATGCCATCAACAAGTCCCCATGACTCTCATACATATATATATAAATATATATTCGGGACATGGCTGCAGCCTGTCAACTTATATATATTATATATATATAAATATATAGTGTGTAACACGGCAAAATCCTTCGTCATCTTCACCGTCGAGAGGATGCAAAAATTTTCCCGCATTTCTCGTTTTTCAGCCACTTGTGTTGAAATGAGAATTTTCCATTTTCCCATTATCTAGCTTTTTCTTCGCCTCGAGCTTCTTTATGATCAACCATAAACACGCCGAGCCAGTTATATCTGATATATTCGATTAAATTGTTTTAATAAACTTTTTTTTCATTATAAAGGTTTTTAAACGCCACGATAATCACATTTAAGGAATTTTAATGCCAATTAAGGCCTTAATAAAAAAAAAAATAATAATAATTTTTTGCAGTTAAAACTGGTTTTGACGGCTCCACAGTGTTGCCATCCTAGAATAGGAGTGAAACCTTAAAGGTGTGTCTTGATCTTATGACAACTGGCAAAAGAAGAAAAAAAAGAAGAAGAAAAAAGATCAGTTAAAATCAGAATCAGGCTGTCAGCATGTCAGACTCTTAAAGTCGTAGGGAAATAATATTTAAATTTCAAATCATTCTGGCTTAAAGATGTATATATATTTATTTTATTTTATTTATCTTCTGCAGGCCAGTTAGTTATACGTCAGCCTGAACACCTAAATTCGGCCAATCATATATCAACGGTCAATAGAATGAAGCAGAATGATGAAAAGGGGTCCCTATGTCCTCCAGCAGTCTAAGCCTATAGCAGCAGAACTATAGAGATAGCTCAGGATAACCTGAGCCACTCTAACTAGAAGCTTTATCAAAAAGGAAAGTTTTAAGCCTAGCCTTAAAAGTAGACAGGGTGTCTGCCTCACGGACTAAAACTGGTAGCTGGTTCCACAGGAGAGGAGCCTGAGAACTAAAAGATCTGCCTCCCATTCTACTTTTAGAAATTCTAGGAACCACTAGTAAACCTGCAGATTGAGAGCGAAGTGCTCTGTTAGGAACATAAGGAACAATCAGATCTCTGATATCAGATGGAGCTTGGCCATTTAAGGCTTTATATGTGAGAAGGAGGATTTTAAATTCTATTCTGGATTTAACAGGAAGCCAATGAAGAGAAGCCAGGAATTTTCATATTGCACATCTGCATTCTTTAATATTTTCTGTATTTTCTACCAACTTTAGGTGCGACTGAATGTTTTTTGACTTCTTAGGCTGGAGTTAGTGATTGGCTATGCGTGTGTGTGACACACACGCTCACATCATGCTATATGTAGTGAGGACCGTGTTTTGACCTTCATTGATTTGCCCTAACCCTGACAATAACCCAAAGCTAACCGGTTCTCCGTATGTTTTCATATTATAAGGCAGTAAGGAGAGTTTGGAGCAGATGATGAACTCCAACTAAGCTTTGACCTCAGAACATTGGCTAATGAGCTGAGGAGGGTGTTTATGTGACATCAAGCTGCAGTTTGTTCAACTTTCAGTAAAACTGTGCCAGCTTTGGCGGCCTTGCTTTGACGCTGCAAAGCTGCAGACATTAAAATTATTCAAAATTACAGCTAAAGCTTAAAGACTGTACTTCTACAGTTAAACATCATCACTCAATGACCATCGCGGCGCCTCAAGGCAGTGGCCAGGAACTGCTCTCGGCAATTCCCCAAAATATGCCGTTCAAAAGGCTACAAACCAGGCATCGATCCCAAAACTATGACCACCAACGCCTGCTGGAGCTACCAGTGTTATGTTTACATTTGATCACTATGTCTACATTTTATCACTGCTGCTTTAGGAATTGAAATGTCTTGAGAGCTGTACTGAACGAAATTTTGTTTTGTATAAACTGTGTGTACAAAATGACAATAAAGTTAGTCTAAGTCTAGATCTACCTGAACAAACTGGCCAGCAGGCTGGTTACTGAAGCATCTATTTATCAGACATTAGCAGCTCATCCAGCGTCTGCTGATGGACCTGAGAGGGCAGGGCGCTTCAAAAACATGAAGCTCATCACATATAAACAGGATGCATCAGATTCTTTCAGTGCTTTCACAACAAAGCTTTGGAAAACTTGTGAACTTTCCAGAATCCAGCTTCTCCTACGGATAAGGCTACTGTGAATCCATCAGAGAACCGGACATCAGCACAGTTACAGGTGCCGGTCTCCCTCCAGCAGGGGGAATGTGAGGCTGTTCTGGTGATGCAAAACCAGGAAGAAAGGATGTGACATAAGACAAGGAGGAGAAGAGGAGCAAAGAGCACGGATGTGAAAAACAACAAGTCTGGTCATGTGGGGTAGAGGAGGGTCAGAAACACAGCTGCACTTCAAACCAAGGCAGCAGCAGAAACTCCATCAGAGGTTCTTCATCCTGTTATTCTAATATTCCAGCTATGCTGCCACAGAAAATGCAACTGCAGGACGTTGTTTGGTCTGCTCTACGTCCAGGGGCCTATCTCTGCTGCGATTGCTGGACTGATTCCTGGACTGATCCCTGGACCGATCCCTGGACTGATCCCTGGACCGATCTCTGGACTGATCCCTGGACCGATCCCTAGACCGATCCCTGGACTGATCCCTGGACTGATCCATGGACTGATCCCTAGACCGATCCCTGGACTGATCCCTGGACCGATCCCTGGACCGATCCCTGGACTGATCCCTGGACCGATCCATGGACCGATCCCTGGACTGATCCCTGGACTGATCCCTGGACTGATCCATGGACTGATCCCTAGACCGATCCCTGGACCGATCCCTGGACCGATCCCTGGACTGATCCCTGGACCGATCCCTAGACCGATCCCTGGACTGATCCATGGACTGATCCCTAGACCGATCCCTGGACCGATCCCTGGACCGATCCCTGGACTGATCCCTGGACCGATCCCTGGACCGATCCCTGGACCGATCCCTGGACTGATCCCTGGACTGATCCCTGGACCGATCTCTGGACTGATCCCTGGACCGATCCCTAGACCGATCCCTGGACTGATCCATGGACTGATCCCTAGACCGATCCCTGGACTGATCCCTGGACCGATCCCTGGACTGATCCATGGACTGATCCCTAGACCGATCCCTGGACTTATCCCTGGACCGATCCCTGGACCGATCCCTGGACTGATCCCTGGACCGATCCATGGACCGATCCCTGGACTGATCCCTGGACCGATCCCTAGACCGATCCCTGGACTGATCCATGGACTGATCCCTAGACCGATCCCTGGACCGATCCCTGGACCGATCCCTGGACTGATCCCTGGACCGATCCCTGGACCGATCCATGGACCGATCCCTGGACTGATCCCTGGACCGATCTCTGGACTGATCCCTGGACCGATCTCTGGACTGATCCCTGGACCGATCCCTAGACCGATCCCTGGACTGATCCATGGACTGATCCCTAGACCGATCCCTGGACTGATCCCTGGACCGATCCCTGGACCGATCCATGGACCGATCCATGGACCGATCCATGGGCCGATCCCTGGACCAATTCATTCAAGTTAATCTTTAAAAAAAATCTTATTCATGACTTAAAACAAATTAAATATAATTATGAAAATTGTTGTACAGAAAAAAATTTATATGGGGATTTTTTTTTTGTCCACTCAGCTCAGTCAGTCTCAAGATCTTTTCAGTCATTTTTTACAACTGATGTAAAAAAGAACTGTTCAGTAACAAAAAAAGGGAAAAAGACGGTTCAGACTGAGGAGAAGAAACTTAAAAAAGCAATAAAAGCAGATTATTAGGCAGCATCAGATCCATTCCCAAACACTGAGCCGTGTCTCAGATGCCTGTTTGTTATATTTCATCTCCATTCAACATCTTTCAGAACTACAGTCCTAAAAGAAGTCTAAGATAGAGCAAGAGCAAAGAGAAAACCCTACTTACTCTCACTGACGGTGAGTAACAGTAAAAAATAAAAAGTAAGGAACAAGGCTGACAGACACATGGAACAGGAAAATACTGATGAGATGAAAACAGCAGAGAAGAAGGAGGACAAAGGTTATGATGATGGAAACCGGCAGAAAAACGGAGAGCGTTGAACTGCCTGTGATGCTGACGGGACTCTGGTCAATGAACCAGCAGAGCCGAGGACAAAGAACTCTTCATAATCTGAACTGAACTGAATGCTGTGATAATTAGGATTATTTAGCAGCAGTTTTTATTCCTTAGAGGAAAGTGCCCTACAGAGTGAAAAGCAATTATCTTCCCCTTTGATGCCACACACAGGACGCACGTTTCAGTACCTCTGTGAGGAAAGCTTCCTGTCGACACTTCTGAAAAATCCTCCAGCATACAGGAATGAAATGAGCGGATCCACAGCACAGCAGCAGACGCTCCAAAATAAACGATGCAGAAGAGGAAGAAGAATCCCCTTTTATTTCATTTCCTTCATTTTATCTGCCTTCTTTCTCCTCTCTCTCTGTGCTCTCACTGTCTGTCAGCCCGTTACTCTCTCCTCACACTGATTCTCCATCTGTCACCGCCTCCTCTCCGTCACCACGCCCCCTCATCCATTATTAATACATCTCAGACCCATGCTCCACCACACACACACACACATTTACATTACAAAATATAGACCAATGCCCTACATCTTCATCCAGGTCAGATATGATAGAAAATGGTTCCTCTGCTGCCAAAGTTAAACGACATTAAGGTAAAAGGTCAAACTAAATCTTTCTGACAGCATCACGTCCCAGCCTGTGTATGTAGGCCACTTTCCCACCAGGCAGATAAACGCTGGCACATTGGGAACGATGTGGGCATCAAACCACCAACCCCAGCCTGCAGTTCATCAGAGGGTACCTTCAATGGATCCTTCACAACACCTAGATTACAGATGTTTACTCACATCTGCACACCTTAATTATTAAAGGAATAGTACACCCAAAACATGATTAGCCTTCATTTTCTACTCACCCCCATGCTGAACAACACTCTGGAGTACTTTTTTGATATCTCAAATGCATCTGGAGATCTGGGAGGCTTCTTGCTGTCTGCTGACATTCAAATAATGGAGGTCTATGGCGCCCGAGGCAGAAAGGTCCATAAAAGTCCACAAAAAACGTGTCAATATTCCTCCATACTGCTCGTCCAATGTATTCCAAGTGTCCTGAGTGGGTAGCGTCCAGAATTTACTCGAAACGAAGTCATTTAGAATGTTTTTAGAGCATAAACAGTAGTGTATAGGATTTCCTAAAAGCGCGTTCACGAGTCTACGGAAACCGCGGCAGACCAAACCAGATGAAAGTGCGCATTCAGCGTCTGCTCTGCCGATAATGCAAGCGTAGAAGAAGAAATGTGCTGTTTACCTGTGCAAAGAAAGAAACAACAAAAGAAAAATGTCTGAGGACTTCAGTGTTGAGGAAGAGCATGAGTTCTTTGCCGAGCTGAATGCGCACTTTCATCTGGTTTGGTCTGCCGCGGTTTCCGTAGCGTCATGATCGCGCAGGTGCGCGCTTTCAGGAAATCCTATACACTACTGTTTATGCTCTAAAAACATTCTAAATGACTTCGTTTCGAGTAAATTCTGGACGCTACCCACTCAGGACACTTGGAATACATTGGACGAGCAGTATGGAGGAATATTGACACGTTTTTTGTGGACTTTTATGGACCTTTCTGCCTCGGGCGCCATAGACCTCCATTATTTGAATGTCAGCAGACAGCAAGAAGCCTCCCAGATCTCCAGATGCATTTGAGATATCAAAAAAGTACTCCAGAGTGTTGTTCAGCATGGGGGTGAGTAGAAAATGAAGGCTAATCATGTTTTGGGTGTACTATTCCTTTAAACCTCTCAAAACTCATCTCTGCTTCCCTTGTCTCTGCATCTGGGTCCTTGAGCAACCTCACCACCCATTGTTGACACCACCCTGAAATCCAGCAAATGGTGCTCAACAGTGAAGGCGGTGGGTGGAAATAGTGTTTTCATGTAACTTTTTTTTAATTTTTTATTTAGGATTAAATAGGAAAAAAACTTTTTCAAAGCCGTCTGTGAAAGAAAAGATGTGAAGGATAAAGCCCGGTTTGGATCTAACGCATACTAAAGGATCTCACTTTAGATTTTCCTCACCACATGCTTGTGCAAACTGTGAAACTAAAACAGCTGAGGGAGAAGGTGAAGCTCTGAATTCAAAGTCCATCCCTCATCTGTATCATCAGAGGTAGATCATATCTGGAACCAACAGCTTAAAGGAGCTGAACCTTGGAGGAACCAGCTGCTGCTTCTCCACCTTAAAACCAGTCGGTAAATGTGGAATGGACATAAAATAAGGATGGCACCTGGAACTGGAGGGACTTTCTATATCCTCTGTGAAACCTTCTGGAACCCTAGAGTGAGCTGGATGGTACAGTTGGACAGAGAGCGGTCTTGGTCTCCCTGATTGATGCTAATTTACAAGCAGAAGGCCGCAGTCATCCGTCCATCAAAGGAAGTCCTAAACTTTATGAAAAAAAGAGCTTTTTCTAAACAGATTAAATGATCTAAACACACGCAGGCCTCGTGGGAGTTCAGTCCAACCATGCACGAATGCATCGTAACCCTAAGATTTCACACACAGAGTTATCCATGCATTCGGCAAAGAGGAGGATGCTCAGCTGGAGGGATTCCAGATTTTCCAGACATTTCAGGAAGAACAGCTGACCAGAAAACAGTCAGTTTGGTTGGAATCTGGACAGAAATATTCAAAACAAATGACAGGAAACTTATTTTAACCAAAACATTTTTGACTTTGGTTTGTTTGGTTTGTTCCACCTGCCCACAGAAACAGAACAGTTTCTTCCGTCGTTTTAAGGTGACAACAGAGAAATCTGTTGCTATATTATAGCAGAGCTGATCGCTGGTTTTTATCCAGGTTCTTTTCAACATTCATCTTCTATTTTTATTCAGAATGGAGGCAACTTATGTTTCAAAGATTGATCTTGCATTGTCTCCCAGAGCGATGTTGAAATGTAGTAGCAGTTTTATTGTCTTATATCAGAAATCAGAATCAGAATATCATGGCCCTATACTTACTTAGCAACAAAACAGTACATCTTGAAGTTCAAGTATGAGTCTTAGTAATAATAAAGTCTCTAATGCTGGCTGGCTTGCCAAACAAGGAAGCAGTTGTACTGCATTATGTTGTCCTGTTTCTGACCTTATGCTCACTTAGTAACACAGAGATTGCAACATGTAAACAGGGAGTCTGCAAGCTGGGAGTCACGTACGAATCTTGGCAAAAACAGGCTTCTTACTGGCTGACTCGCACGCAATCGGGTCACAGGCCAAGAACTTCCAGGAAGGTTCTTCAGAGCGTCCAGTCGTGCGCGTGCATCCACACAGTGCGTTGTGGAGCCTATAAAAGGCCGCCCTCAATGGATTGAAGGTGGGGGAAAACTACAGATGTGAGGACATAGCGCTGAATGTATGAAGTGTTTAAGACAGCTGTATGAATTCGGTTTTGTAAATAAATGTTTCCCCCCTCCGGAGACAATGGAGTGAATCCTCAGCCTTCTTTCTATCATAAGAGAATTCTACCAATGAGCTTCCACAGAATCTACCGCTGGGTTTAAGTTTATCAAAACTATATTTAAATCAAATACTATTACAAGCAACTAAAGCATCTTTATTGCAGAATGTGATAATTAAATTTAATTCAGTTTATTTCTATAGCACCAATTCACATCATGTCATCTCAGGTCACTTTGCAGTTCACCAGATCATCCAGTCAGATTGATTCAAAGTTTTCTATCTAAGGAAAACCAGCTGATTGCATCGACTCATTGACTCTTCAGCAATCCCTCACACTAAGCATGCTTGTAGTGACAGTGGAGAGGAAAAACTCCCTTTGAACAGGAAGAAACCTCCAGCAGAACCAGGCTCAGTGTGAGCGGCCATCTGCTGAGGCCCACTGGGGTTCAAGGAGACAGAAGCAGACATAGAAAAAGAAGCATAGATACAAAAGGCAACTGTCAACCAGCTCCACAGGAGGCCCCGTCCAGGAAACACACAGCCAGGCAGACGAGCTCCGAGCCAGCTCCCATGTCAGAGGATGAAGAGAGCACATCCAGTTAGTCACAGTCAGAGAAACAGGAAAACACTGGAAAACAGGCCAAGCTCCAACATCTAGAAACAAAGGTGTTGATGGCAGCAGCACAGCTGATATTTCTCTCCAGGATGGAGTCACAGCCAAACAGGAACAGACCAGATGAAGCTACTATGAGAAAAAGCAGAGAGAGCAGAACGTTAGAGATTGAACTAACAGATTCTGCAGAGTGGGAGAATAGAGATAGAATGAAGCAGAATGATGAAAAAGGGGTCCCTATGTCCTCCAGCATTCTAAGCCTATAGCAGCAGAACTATAGAGATAGCTCATAATAAAGACTAAAAGTAGTTGGTGAACAAATCCAGGAAAATAATGAATCGATTAGTTGACTGCTGCTGGTTGATTGCAGCCATAAAATAAACCCATTTTCAAATCTTAATGTATTTAATTTTTTATTGATTTATTTATTTTATTGTTTGGTTTAAAAACGCTCCTCATCCCATCTGCTCTGTCGGACCACCGTGTTCCTAAACGAGCCCACGGGGAGAAACCAAACACCGACTGCAGGACTTGATCCTCTTTCAACAACTGTTACATAATTGAGCCGCATGAATGAGGCGGGGGATGTAGCTACATTCATGAAAAGTGTCTAAGCATTGAATCAGATGATAACACCTGATGGTCACATGCTATCAGGTATTCATTAAAAACAATCCTCAGACTATTTCTAGAAACAACAAGGCAATAAAACCTACAGTAAAAACGTGGAAAAAAAGAATCCCAAAATAAGAAATGGGAAGAACTGAAGACCCGCCCCCCCCTACACACACACACACACCTGCCCATTTTAAAGTGAGTTGAGAGCCTGCCAGCCCCATAAACAGTTCAAAGGAAGCTGGTTTCTGTGTGTAGCCCTCAGGGTGGATGAGTGTGAGTCCCGGCTTGACCCACTGACCTCAGCCAACATTTTCAGCTCCCTTCTGTCTACAACCAAACTCCCAAATCAATACCTCTCTACAGTCACTGCTGCCAGGCATGCTATGCAAATAAGAGACGCATCTCATTAAAACCATGTGCTGACAACAATAGGAAGGACTAAGCCTCTCGCCGTTTTTCCTTGAGACATCTTCAAGACGTTCTAACAGACACACGCAGATGAGCGTCGCGGCCAGATGGCCTCAGATTTCTGACATCTTCAACAGAAAAGAAAAGCCCAGACTAACGCCGCCATCTTTGCGTTACCTTCAGCACCAGACAGCTACTGATAGAGGGTTTTTAAGCCCATGGCTGCACCAATTATTTAGATGGCACATGCTGACAGTTTTAAAAGCAATTCTTTAGGTTCAAATTACTCTTCCACCAGTTATAACAAAGTTTTAATGAAATAAAAATGGTTAGCATATCAAAGAGGATGTTAACAATGGAAAGCAAA